CATGTATATACATTTTCAGATTGTTGTGGGTATAAACGTCAAAACAAACCTAAAGCGGGTAAAGCATTGGAGCATTTTGAGTATTACTGTGCACATCAAAATGAATGTGAAAATGAAGCCAAACCACACTTTAAGGGCTTTTTGGGGTTTGCAAGATGACTGCTTGGCAGATTGGAACGTCTCCACCCTTCACTTTCTGTAATCTATAAGCAGAATCCACAAACATGGTTCTTGAAGAATCTCTACTTTATCATCATTTGGTGAGCGTTTAAATTCCGAACTTGTTCTCGATAACCAACCTCCAGAGAAAAGTCACAAACAAAAATGTATCGGTATGTTTCTTAATCTGCTATACTCAGCGTTTAAATGCGGTGTTTAAAGTTAATTGACCTAATACAAGTTATTTTATTTTATTGGTTATTTCCCTTTTCTGGTGTTCATACTGTAGCATCAAAACCACACATAACTCAGTTGCTCTGAAACTAGACCAAGATTCACATTCCCGGGAGCCCAAATTACATTTTGCCGTTCGGCCAAAACCAACCAACTTGGTAAAATGTTGCAATAAACCGCAAACATTTAGGAACACACCCTAATGTCGTTAAACTGAATCACATGTAAGTAATGCAGCATCACATGCAAACATCCATCAAAAAACACATGCACAGGACAAACAGTTACGCCTCGGAAATATTTCAGATGATACCAAGATTCTTGTTTCTGTTTCACTTCGTGAGGGACATTTTCCCCACACAACTGAACAGCCACTACGTCTCAGGGGCAGTGAACAGCCACAAATCCTGTTCCTAGATTTGAAATAAATGCTACATTTGTGAAGCAAGTGTGTGGGTGTGTGTTCTATTTGTTTCACAACATTACTCTCTTTTTTTGGATTTAAAGTGACCTTATCTTTATTGTCAACGCCACTTTACTTTGCTCCATCAACCACTTAAAGCCCAGCTAGCCTTGACTCCACATGATACATAACACCACTTCTGTTCCTCGAATTCAAATGTGTGATTAAGATTGCTGGCAAAGTTTGGGGGGGGGGCATATGGGCGTGAAAAAAGATGTCTGTAGGAGTATATATTCCTTATTGGGTGTGTGTTTGATTTGCCTGATTCTCATTGTGTGTGTGAGTCAGTGTGAGTGTGCGGAGATTAGCCTGAGCAGGTTAGCTACGGTGGCTTTAGCTGCGTGTGGTTGCAGACAGCCCCAACGTGGTGGTAAACAGCCATTCACTGGGGCCAGGCCTCAGTCTGGCTTTCCCATAATACCAGTCTATGGAGGTAATTCAATGGAAGAATTGACACTATGGTAATGGCGCTCCTTGACACTGGCCCCTCAGGGACACAAGCATATGGCCGCTAAGCAGCGCAAGCTTATGGAGCAACCAGTGAGGTGGGCCCCACCCTATTCAGTCCACAGCCTTCAAATGAACTCAAATAATCCCATTCAAAGAAACTTAAAGAAACTAATATAACTAATGTTTTCAGAGAAATCAGAAACCTCAAACCAACTAGAGCAAAGAGAAGAACACTTTGTCATCATCATATAGAAATGCTAACACAATCAATAGACCAGAACATGCATGGTTACTTATCTGTTCAGTGTCTGTACCCGTGTGTGCACATATTTAAAGGTCGCAGATGCAGTTTCGTCCCATTGAGGGGGAAAGCTAAAGTTGTTAAAGCAATAACCATCCCTATCTACCTATAATCGAATTTCCGTCCCTTCATTCCTGCCCTCACATCCATCACTCTCATGTTACTTCCTGCTAATGTACGACAAAGGCACTTAACTGAAAAACAATACTTGGTATGAACTGACAGAGTTGCACGCATGATGAGATTGACACCACTCTCAAGGCTGTATGTTAAGTACAGAGCAGAGGGACAGTTAGCTTAGCCTAAGAGAAAGAATGGAAGAAGGGGTAAACAACTAGTCCTGATCGTTCAAAGTTGAAAAAGCAATATTCCGACAACTTTCTTTAAAGCTCACTGAAATATTTTCTTTAATCTGTATACAAACAGAAAAGGAAACAAAATAAATGTGTGGTTTTAGAGAAAGTTACTGTAACTATTTATTGACTATCAACAGCCATCCATCCTTTCCATGTTCCACTGTGCAGGTTTCTGCTTGTTCCCTGGCAACTTAATGGTGACATGACTTTGGGAAGACACCGCACCTAGTTGTTGTTTGCTAAGAAGTAGTTGTATACAGTATCTTCCCCATGGAACCAAATTGTTATTTTGAGATGCTAACGGCATGGCCATGTTGATCTGTCAGGTGGCGTGTCTTCTTAATGGTCAGTTTGTCCACCACTTTGACTAAGGCTGATAATCTGTAGCAATCACTGAATATTCATGGCCTCTTGAGGATGAACCCACCTATTGTATGGCCTGTTATTACATTTATTAGAAATATTTATGTTGGCCAGATAATGAAGCCTACCAACTTATCCAATAGCATCAAGAAAGGTCATAATATTAACTTATTTGACTAATGACGAAAAATGTAAGAAACAATATTGTCATTGTAAGTATACAAAAAAATTATAATTCTGTAGTCATTAATGGTTCCCAGAGGATTACCTACTGACTTTGGTGATCTCCTGGCTTTTGTAACTAGCAGGTTAACATGTGGTTCTGAGTAAAACTAGTATGATTGCGTGGTTCAGATACAAGACCAGCCCCAGACTTGCCACAAACTGGTTCAGAGTTAGTGTAAAAAAGCAAGTTAATCAAAGCTTAAACAAATTGAATTCATTGTAAAGCTAAACAATATATATATATCAGGTGACTTATGCAAATAGAACAGATGACCTAGACAATGCTGAATGGTTGCTAGGAGAAATAGAAAAGAGAGAGGTTAGAGATAAATGTAACTTGAAGGCCAAGCAGTTCAGATGAAGGTGCTGGTTTCCTTCCCAGTTCTGCTCATTGACTTCTGAGTCAGGAGGCTAGACCAAACACCTCAAATCAACTGACAAAGGAAAGTATTCATTCACGTTTCGGCTCGAAGATATTGTCCACTGATTAGTCTCAGGGCTGTGACAACATTTGATAACTATCATAAACTCAGAGATATGGACCTGTGCTCAGGCTCATATCTGCTCTGCATCTGGTAAAAACATCCCCCCAACAGCAGACCTGGAGAAAACAATCACAAGGATATCATTCAATTCTATCAGGGGAAACTGAACTAAAATGAGCTCTCTTGACATGTTGAGGCCTGACAGATTGAGCCGTGAGATCCCAACTGGCCCGACATGTCACTAATGTAGATTGTTCCACTGCTATGTTAAAATTGCTAAGTAAATATAGTTTCCAGTCATTAGGAGGCACAATGGAACTGCTAAAACATTTAGAATGGGTGTCATGTTGGGAACATGCTACAGTGGAGTGGGAATAATTAAGACGGAAGCTGTTGAGTAACAAAGACAGGCAAACAGAGCACTGTGTCACACACACACACACACACACACACACACACACACACACACACACACACACACACACACACACACACAAGATGCTATATTATGTTCTTAAAAAAAGGCACTTTTGTCAGATAACTTCAGCTTAGTAAGTAGGAAAGTTTTCCCGTAAGTCATCCACAGGGCTAAGGATATGTTTACAGTGAAACACTTTTTTTATGCATCAGTAAATCCTCAATTTAAATACAAAGTTAAATCCCAGGTCACATGTCCCTTAAAGGGTCTTGGACATAGGGCTGGGCGATTTGGCCTAAAAATAAAATCTCAATTTTTTTTCTAACTAATGGACAATTTTCGATTTAAACCTCGATTTTTTCAGTTTTTTTCTGTAATATGTCACCGCATCTGTGATCGCCTGCCACCGGGGCCCTTTCTTGTCATAAGGAATGACTGTTGAAAATGCTGCTGCCAAGGTTATCTGCTTTTTTGCAGGCACTTTGTGGCTTGAGCTAGCATCTGCATCTCTTAGTNCGTTTGTAGTAGAGTTAGCAGGGTATTTTTATTTTAACTCTCGTCCCAAATTCGTCCCAAAATTATTTTTTATCCTCCCTGACACTTTTTTTTTCGGCCCCGGGACGACGGGACGTCCTTAAGCTCGAGCCCTGGGTTTGGTTTATGGCACGGCTGACTGATGGTTGCGATATTCCTAAATCGTCGGCATTGCAAAGTTGCATTTTCCCTGTTGCTAAATATCGTAGTGTTGCCAAACATTTTATTTCCGGACTAATCGGGTTATTCCTGTTAGTCGGGGATGTTATTGCATCCCGCACTAATTCCACAACAAGTTTGATACCCTCACGATTTAGCCTATATCTCTTGATCAATTCACAGCCTTCCATTGTCTCCAAAACATTTCGTCTCGCAGCCATTTTCAGATTCTTTGTGAATAGGTCTTACTGAGTTAGGAGTCCTCTCGAGGACTTTTAAGCTCTCCCAACTTAGGTGCTACTTTTAGGCCTAAAATACTTTGTGAATTGCTCTTAGTGAATAAAATTAGGAGTCCTAAATTTAAGACTGACACGCCCATTATGTTTAGGAGTTTCTCCTAAATTCGCCAGTTAGGAGCTACTTTTAGCCCTAAGATCCTTTGTGAATACGGCCCCAGATATATAAATCTTAAGTACAAGGGATGAAACTTTTTCCTATAAAAACTTCAAAGTTTGAGATATTTTTAAGTTTTATATGGCATGCAACAAATAATGACTTACCTAGATATAGACAGTACAATATAGAGGAATGTGCACGAAAGATATACAAAACCACAATTGACCATTTGCTAAAATATTGCTGAATACAATTTAAACAAGACTGTATGTGGTGTGATGACCTTAAACAAAACATCATAGTATTGGTACAAAAGATATTCCATTAACCTCCTCAACAATTCCACCGCAATTCATTTAGCATATTGAAAATGCAAATAAAGTGTTTATTTAGTTGTTCTTGATTATCTATAGCCAGTTTAGTAAATGCTGACACTTCTTCCAACGCTTTGTTTCAGCTTGGAGCAGCGTAACGTGGAGCTGGAGACGGAGATGGTGAGCCTTCACGAGGAGCTGGACCAAGAGAGGAAGAAGTACACCATGGCAGAGATCAAGCTGCGCAACGCGGAGCGCGCCAAGGACGACGCTGAGCGGAGGAATACGATGCTGCAGAAAGAGATGGAGCAGTTTTTCTCCACGTTCAGCGACCTCACTGCGACTGGAAACCCCCCAGCAGCCGACCCCCGCCGACCAGATCGTAACAACCCCATCTGGATACAGTGAAGGGAGGCTTATGATGTGATGTGAACAATATGAGTGCTCCAAACAGGGTTTGGCTGCTGGTTGTTAAGGGAAAGTTACAATGCAAAGGTTAATGGCATGTTAATTTAAGAAATAAGAGGTGTCTGGCTAATGAGAGCCACCTGTATAAATATAGACATCACCTGGAGTGATGCCAGACTGACAATATGTGTAAATACAGTGTTATTTAAACAGCTCCCAGACACTCATCTGACTGAAGAGGATTGAAGGCACACCATAGTCCATGATGATGCGTTAAAAAGGTTGCGTTTAGCCAACAAACATAAAAACCTTGGACCTGAAAACACAAAAAAGACCATGCAAGAACACCTCTATATTTAATTATCTTTTAAAAAAATCTAACCAAAAACATCTTGTTGTTCCGTGTAATTCTGTATCTGCTCATGTACATAGAGGGAAACGATGCAGAAAAGTGTCATATGTATGTAAAAAGAAATGAAAAAAGTAATATTTAAATGTTTATCTGATATTTACGCAAAGTTATCAATGTGCGATATTTTATATTACGTTTTCTCCTTGCACTTACATGTTTGTTTAGTCTCAGCAAGGTGGTACTGAATGTTCTGTCGGCCAATGTGTGTACCAATTACATTTGGACAATATACTGTATAATATGTGCTTCTACGCTTCTGTGCTGTTTATTTACCCCATGACCAAAAAAAAGAGCCTGTTCTGTAAATATTTTATAGATAATCATAGACACTACTTGTTAGTCTGCACTGTGCGTCAACACATATTCACATGTATATGGCACCTATTAAGTTGATACTGATTGAGGAATGTTTTGTAGCTTGTAAAGATACATTTTAAGACTGTACGATGGGTCATTGGCTAAAATCCCAGATTCAAACAAAAAAATCAGTTGTCAAATCTGAATTTCAGTGGAAAAATTCTCTCTGAATACACTTATAAACAGTTTCTGAGCATACTAGATGCCAGTTTTAAAAATATCTTCCTGTACTTTCCATTTTCCAGTTTCAACACCTAAAAACAGGTTTTCCCCTAAACTAGCACAGAATAACAAGCTGCAGAGTCCCGACACAGAGTTGTGTATTTTGTTTATAACTGTGAAAATGTTTAACTACAGCATCAAGTCTTCTACATGGAGACATGAACAACCTGGTGGCTAGTTTCATTAGCAAGTGGTGTGTGCATGAGTCCATGCGGGCTGGTGTATAATTATGTGAATGTCTGTAAAGTTACTGCATATCGATGAAGTCTTTGAGTGTATTTATGTAGCTTTAAGCCAAATGTATACACATGATGTGGTTTTGCTGATGGGTACAAAACATATTGAGCTGGACTTCTGAACAGAAGCTGCTGCTGGCTGCTCTTCCTCTGAAGACCAGGTCTTCTGCTGCTGGTCCACGCAGGACATCTGGAATGTGCACATGGAGGGGAAAAAGTGCCTGAAGAACTGAAGGAGGAGGGGGGGGAGGAGGCTGTGCTCCTCATTTTGCACCCTCCATCGGGAAGTAAAGGGCTTAAGCCGAGCTGACTGGCACCTCGTTCTGTGACTCCACACAAAGAGCAGATTATGGACGCAGGGCGGGCGGGAGCAGGAGTGGGACAGTGGAATATTTTTCATGACATGATACTTGATACACAAAATAAAAAAATACTTAATATGAATAAAAGTGCATTTTCATTTGATTCCTCTGTTTTTGTCTCAAGGTCTTTCAAAAGGTGTGAGAAGATGCAGCATTTGGTTAGTCTCGCATGCAACGTGAGTGGACATTAATAGAATCGGAGGGATGAAACCATCTTTAATGGTCACACATGCAGAGCACACACAGTTAAATTTGGCCTCTGCATTTAACCCATCCTAGTACCAGGAGTCTAGTACTAGAAGCAGTGGGCAGCTATTGTACAGCGCCCAGGGAGCAATGGGAGTGGGGGGGGAAGGGGGTTGTCTGGTGCCTTGCTCAAGGGCACCACGGCAGGGCAGGAGGAGGTGAACTGGGACCTCTCCAAGTAGAAGTCCATGCTCCATATTTAGGTCTGTTCGGGGACTTGAACCGGCGACCCTACGGCTCACAGTCCAAGCCCCTCCTGACTGAGCCACAGCATTAAGCCTGGCACCGATGACTATTTTCCATCAGCTAAATTATTTTAGATACAAATGATAACATTATTCAAAAAAAATAACTGATTAAACCAGCAGTTGTGGATAAATGTTCAAGTAGATGTAATGTATTTCGTGTAATTTATTTTTTTGATAAAACAGTTGGGCAATGACATTGTTTGAAACATCAAATATAATAATGTGGTTATGGACAAATATCTTAAGTCTTAAACATAACTAAAGTTGCCCATACAAACTATATCATTTAAATTAGCTTAGGATCTGTTTTGTGTGAATAAAGTGATAGTCAATATACAAACATATGTCTACATGGACATATTGTAATAGTACATTGTCTATAGTTGTCTATTATACAACCAGAGAAAGTAAAGTGACCACAGTTTTAAAGATGTTTGGAAATCTGACAGTCCTATAGTATAAATCACCATGTTACTGTGATATGAATGAAATACTTAGGAAAGATTATTGCCTTTTCTATCATCCTGCACCACCAGGCAGCATGTGTTTGCTCTAGTGTTGAACTGAGAGCTTGAATCTGAATTAAGGTCTGTGTAGGTGGGACTCTGTGTGACTGTGGCACTTTGGATAGATGGTTTCTATGGAGACAAAGGCCAGAAGAAACACTATAGGCTCATAGAGACATTTTGAATTGCAAATCACTGCGGGTAAAAGGAAGAAAGGTACACAGTTTTCCAAGATCAAATATTTTGTTTATTTTCAATCACATACATATACTATTTTTACATACACAGTTCCTTTAAAATGTTGTGTTTACAGTAACAGCTTTCAGTTTTTTTTTTCTTTTTCTTTTGCATTTGTTTTGACTTTATTTGAAACGCTATAGCCTGAAGCTTTGAGATCAGCGTGAAACGGATACAATTTCTTTTTTTTTTCAACCTGACAATGTCAAAAGAATGTTTCATTAAAACAGCACGGAGTAAAAGAAACAAGAGAGAAGGAATCGTAAAAGAATTTAAGAACAACGTCACCTGATTCAGATGAGCTTTACAGGGTTTCATCATCGTAGAGTTTCACATTTAAAGATTCCAAACATTTTAGCATCACCCGACCCTTCAGTACCTCCCTGTCTGAGTGCAATAGTGTTTATTGCATTGTTGGATAATTGTTATTTACAATATGACTTGAAAGAAAAGAGGTGAAAACTAAAAAGATGGGGGTCACAAGTACTTGGTCCAAAGATTTAATTTTGGCACAGCTGAGTACAAGATGTATTCTACTTTGTGGCTAAAATTTGGCAATAATATTAATGGCTGATTGACAGACAGCCATCTTTAGTACAAATAAATGGGGATACATTTGGCTAATCCTGAACCCATTATGTATCATTGAAAGCCCCTTGTGACCAGATTTGGAAGCAGGATTGGTGGTTGACATATTTCTAACTTCTAAAGATTGTGACTTAACATGAATACACACATGAATTACTTCCAAACACACACCAGTACCGACTCTCCATCGACATTCTTTGAAAGCAACCCTCAAAACCCTATTGAACGAAAAAAGTGAAAACGTGAACTGTGAAATAATCCGTCCAGATGTCATATCACATCTCCCATTTCAACCTTACAGACAGTTAGTGTTGAATGCTGGTTAATTTGAAATCACACACACACACACACACACACACACACACACACAGATGACAAAGCAGAGCAGCAATGACGTGAGTGAAAGAGTTTCTACATTCAGTGTTGACAAACCCAGCTGTTAGGATCAACTCTATTTCAGGCCCAAAAGCACCTTAATATCATAACAGAATTGTCTGGAGGGATGTCTTATAAAAAGATCACATTCAGAGAAAGAAAGAAAAACTATGCTTCAGTATTTGTACAACAGTACCGTGAGTATCTGTGGTGCACAGTAGGAGTAGACTCAAAACACTTTGACCCCTTTGTGAGAGATTATTTTTCAAAACACAAAGACATTTAAAGGTTTCACCCTGTTTTTTGAAAGATTGCCCTGGCCAGACCCTGACAGAAAGCTGAGCTAGCGTTAGCTTATTCTGGAGACGCTGCCCTCAGTCGCCCTGTTAGCTCTGTGAAGGTACCGCAAGTCTGTGTGTGGTTCACTGTACACAAGCCACAGGCAGGAGGAGAGTTAACAAAGTAGCCATTAGAAGTAACCTATATTATTTTGTGGGAGTGGTATTTAGACAGTGTATGTACAGTGACAGGGTCCTTTTAGGTGAACAAGAATGGAATTAGACTATCAAATGTTAAGAAGCGTATTAAACCAATAACTGACATGTCCACCTAAACAAGGCCATGACTGGGATTTCACTTTTATTCTTAATTAGTGTACATATGAGCCATTTAATTTCTGAATAACATGGTTATATTCATAAAAAGTCAATGGTGTTTTGGTGTTCTAGAAACGTGAAAGCAACCTTAAGTGTCTTAAACCTCATCTTTGTATTCTTTCAGTAACCCGATTGTCAAGAACCAATTCATTATTAAAAAGAGTTTGAGTAAATGTTGTGTAAAAACTAGCATTAGCATAGCCGTACAATCTGAAGACATTTCACACCACGTCACAGTAACTGCTAGAACACAAGGTCAAAGCGCCAACATTTGTCCAAAGAGTTTTTAATTTAAAAAAGTTTCCACCCAATTTGGTGGTTTAGGGATTAAGATTTTTAAGGCAGAAAAAGAAGAAGCAGAGGAAAAAATACCCAAAATAATATCATTTCTGTACTTGCAATGCTTCATTCCTAAAGGCACTTGCCATATTCAGGTTCCATCTATCTAAAATAAATAAATAAATAAATACATCCTAGAAATAATTAAGAAATAAAGTAGTCAACATAATTGTGTGGTAGCCTCTATCTAGTAGTTGTTTTACTTTAGGTGCAGGG